CATCGCACTCGTTTTCTCTCTATCTCTATCGCTCATTCAGTCATTCATTTTTATTGTTATACACGCATTGCCGCCTGGCAAAACCAGCCCAACACACAAACCTATAAAAATTATTGTAGATAATACTTACGCAAACGGAACAACACCTTGCCGAGGACAAATGAAGAGGGGAAAAATGGTTTCGGGAAGAAAAAAAAAGAAACACGCACACACAACGCCAAAGAACAATTATGCGCTTCAGATGAAAATAAACACGGCACCGAATTCGTACAGAACACCAGCGACAGCACCACAGTGGCAGAAACAGTGGGGAACAAAATCGGTTCGTTCCGCTAAAAGCAAAGCAGAAGAAGGAATCAAATGAGATCAAAATGGATTCATTTCGCCGGCTATGCATAGACAAATGACGTTCACAGCTTATTTTTCTGACTCTGTTGATTTTGTGGATTGTGTGAAAAGACTGTGTGCCGGTGAAATCTTAAAAGTAGAAAATTTATTTTCCACATGCATAAAAGCCGTCATTTCAATTCTCGTTGTTGGGAACGTGATGACGGCACCATTTAAACATTTCACTCGCGCAATTTTCATTCTCACTCTCTTGCTCCTTCGCTCGCACTCACTTGCACTCACTCGCACGTTCGTTCATCCTCTCGCGATGGTATTTGTCCGGGCGAGTGAGCGAGTGCGGTGCGTGTGTATATATGGTAGAAGTATGCTTATTATTATGAAAACGGCAAGATTTTAAAAGAAAATGCAAATTACTCAATGAACATAAATTTCTTTCACGCGCTCGAACAAACACACACACACACACACATTCCACTGGATGACGAGCAGCAGAAGAAGGGAAAAAACATCAGTTGGAATAATAAAACCATTTTGAAAAGCTCAGCGCTATAAACTTTTCATCGACGATGAGTAAAACAAACGCAACAAAGTCGATGGCACATAGCAATGTTCGGCAGAGAGAGAGAGAGAGAAAAAATCCAACGAACAGAACGAATAAAATTGTGTGAAAAATATTGTTTGGCTTCAAAAGAAAAAAATACTGAATGACTGTGCAAGAAGCAGAAAAAAAGAACACGAACATTTTCACATTTCTCATGAAATCGTCAATTTTCGCCCCGCATTTTACTTACGAGAGATTACCAAACATTTTCTCTCTCTGTCTCTCTGCCTCTATTTTTCTCGCTTGCTTTTTCAGTTTGCGGTTTTGCTGGATGATTGTGCTAGGCTGTGGTGATGGTGTGTTTCTGTGTTGGCTGATGGCACAGCGGAGACGATTTTCATGCATTTAATACCGTTTGTACACAGGAAATCATAATGTACACGTTTATTTCGTTCGCCTCTGCTATTGCCACAAAATCTGCTTTTCGTTTTTTATTACAACAATTCAATTGTTCGATATTTCCATCCATAAGCTCGATGGAAAACTCTCGCTGCCTCTGCTGTCGATTCTCCATTCAGTTGTATCGCTTTGACGGCGGTGTGGGCCGCATTTGAATACCAATTTGTATGTTCTGTTAAATCAAATATTGTTTACTGTTTTCTCCGTTTTGTCTGTACTTCTCTTATTCACCACCTCTCTCTCTCCCCCCCAGTGAACCAAAACATTTCTCCGAAACGATTCGTAACATTTTCATTAATGTGATTATCGTCGTTATTGCTTTATGGGAAGTTTGTCTTGTTTCCATATTTTCTCGTTCACCTTGATATCATTTTTCTTCTAATGACATCAGGTGTATCGTCTTACAATTTTTTATTTTTATTTTTTCGGAGAGCTGTATAAAATTGAAACGAAAAAAAAACAAACCAATTGCATTTTAATGAATGTCTGCTTTCATTTGTTTACTTCTTTTGTGTAGCCAATCGAGATTTTCTTAATTTTAAAGGGTCGAGACTTTTTTTCGTCGTATGAAAAACAATGAACAACAGCAGGGATGCATACTCAAAATTACGACGACATCGTCATAAGGGGGGGTAAGCCAAACTAAATCGATTGTACTTAATGTGTACTAAATTATTCATGGAAAAAATCAGTTGGATTCAATTTTAATAATCTATTTTTACATCGTTCGTTTTTATTTTCTTCGAATAACACAAATTTTCTATGGGAAAATACCTATATGTTTTCCAAATAAATTAGAACGTAGTTACTTACAAATTAAAAAAAAGATTTTTCTTTGGGATAGATCACATCAATTAACTGTTCAACGTCTCGTTTAATTAAGTGCACGAAAATGTTTCGTACGTATGGGTGTCGCAGTTCAAACATTTTTTTTTTGATGGAAATGCCCGCGTTGTACAATTCAATTTCAGATCGATGGTATTTCGCTTTTCAGAATTCTTTGTAGCTTCCGGGAGTGGTGGAGCACCGTAAATTGTTTCCCTCTCTCTGTCATGTTTCACGTGTTTGGCCATTGCCGTTGCTGTTGTTTTGGAAATTCCATTCGATTCCATATAAATTCGAATGTTCCGATGTGCATGGTGATTGCGTTTTATGTGTTCATCGGAGCCTTGTGGCCGACAGTGTATTTGGCACACTGCAAACTGACACGTTCCCACATGCAAAATACCTCTGATAATTCGATTGTTTTGTACTGTGTGTTGTTTTTATATTCATTCGTTCTATTCTTCAATGTGCCACAGCTTTCATGAGCGCAGAGAAGGGAGTATGTTTCCACCCATTTAAGCGATATCCTTTGAGCATTCCAAACATGCGAAATACGATCACAACAAAGAAACACAAATATTCTAGCTATTCTTTTTAGTTTTCACAATGCCAATTATCAGCAGGTAAATGAAAATCCGTGCATTTTTTCCCGTGCCGACCGACGTAACCCGATCGAGTTCCGTTGTGCTCGTCTGATTACATTTTAAAACACGGTCGAGTGCTGGCCGATTTGGAAAACAAACAGCGAGGGAATGAAGATTTGAGCCACGCCAAGCACACCGGACACACGATGAGTGGTTTTAATTTATACATTCCATTTTTTTTCGGTGTTTGTTTTAATTTGAACGAACGAACCGTCAACAATCTCGTGCTTTTTTCTCGGACTCTTTCCGTTTTTCACTTTGGTATTTTTTCTGTGCTGGAGGAGTAGAAAAGGCGAAAGATAGGGAAAGAATGGAGAAGAAATCGAGTAAAAAAGAACTGAATGTACAAATTGTATCGAGTGGCAAGAGCGGGAGGGAGAGAAACAGAGCAGAAGAAAAAAAATTAAGCTCAACGTTCAAGGAAAAGAAAATGTGTGCATAGAACTATGCAGCGGCAACAGACAAAGATTAGCAATAATTCAACGGCGCAAGGCGTGTATTCCGACACACCAATAACATTGTCGGTGTGCATCAGCGTCAACGGGCGAATACGGTTCGTTTTATCTTCAATATTAGCATACAGTACATTAAATTGGTTATGTGTTCAATTGCGTTTGTTTCGCTTTGTTTAATCGTGAAAACGCGTTTGTTTACGAACACGCTCTCTCTCTCTCATTCTCTCTCTCTCTCTCTCTCTCTCTGTGTGTGTGTCTGTCTCTTGCTCGATTCTTAACCGGATTGTCGGTGTAAAGAAACCCGATTCCTTTTTTCGTTATCTGTTTAGCGCAACATCGTTAGCGCAACAGCGGCGGCGGCGGCGGCGGCATTACAGCGAACGAACATTGTGGGAATGTTTCATGGTTTTGTATTTGGGTTTTCTATTAATTTAAACATTTTATTTGCAAAGAATGCCACATACAAAATGATTTCCTTCGCGCACTCTGCTCAAATACACATTGCCACGGCATTGCAAAATAGCAGCAGTAGCAACGCCAAAGTACAATATAATAATGGTATTTATAAAGCGATAAAATCGTCTCTCACACTCTTCCCGTCTCCCTAGCTCTGTTTTCGCTCTCACTTTCCTTGGGCTTGGTTTTTCGGATTATATATACGATAAAATACTATTAAAATTTATTGTTTTTGGCTGTGGCAATCATTACGCCCCCTCTGGCCCAACCAGCCGCATTGCCATCATTGTGCATGTGTGAGCGTTGTGCGCGCGCTTTGTATATATTTTCGGTTAATTTAAACCATCGAACCATTTTCTGGTGGATGTTAGCATTTGAAATGAGAATGATTTCGTTTACCAAGCGAGAGAAAGAGCGAGATAAAAAACATGCTGACGCGCTTTGTCTTCACATTCCTTTTTTTTGTTTTAGTTTGTTTTTGCCACACACCAGACCCGGGATGTTCCTCATTTCATTGAACCTAAAATCACATTTGTCTTTATCGTAACCTCATTTCCAGTCCGCTTCAAACAAAGCTACAACAAAGAGCAAACACTCACAAACACACACACACAGAGAGAGAGAGAGAGAGAGAGAGAGAAAGAGAGAGAGAGAGAGACAGAAAAAAACGGCAACATTCAACATTCGCAATAAAAGTAACTTTCGACATAGAATATCATTATCCGTATACAAACCGCATCTTCGTTTAATGCGGCCGCAGACAAAATAGAAGTTGATTCCTTGTTGTTAGAAAACAACCATAAACTGTTTTGCAATAAATAAAATTACTGCACCGAATAAAATGCGGGAAGTAAAAATGAAACCGATTCACACATGTTCACTCAGCTCAAAACGTGCGTTCGTTTTTGCTACCGCACAACAGAAGTAAAAGAAAACCCTCAACTATTTCGAAGAAAGTAGCAATTTTAGTGCAGTAAATCTCTCGTGCAATCACCGCCCTCCACAAAAAAAAAAGAAAACAAATCGTATTATAAACCGTATCTATTCGGTTACATTGTTGAAAGAGAACGCGGGTATGGATAATACTACAGAATATAATCGATATTTGTTTTTTGTTGTTCTTTGCGAACGTAAAAATTGCGAAGCATTTAAAAACAACAACAACAAAAACCAGCCGATCCGTCGAAAATGTATGGATAAATTCAAATATTTGTCGAAAAAACACACAGATAACAGAACATTTGCCAAAGAAAAATATGCGCTAAGACTTACTTCATTGTATCTATCTCACGGTGTCGACACGAATATGATCTCGTTTGAGATTTCACGTGGTATTTTCTGTTCCTGTTTCTGCTGTTTCTCTATTCAAGTCTTTTTACCATGCATTCGAAATGAGCGATATGGCACACATTTATTATATAGCCGCAAAACAAAATGTGATACGATTATTTTGCTCACTTGTTAGTTTTGTTTTTCTTTTTTGTTGCTGCTTGTTGTTGTTCGGAAAAATACAAAAATACGGTGTATGTGTATGAGTTTTGTGAGTTCTTCACGCTAAAGTTTTCCGGCTAAGCCTGTTTCTAAATACCACAACCGTCTATTATTCCACTTATTTTACACAGATTTTGTGTGTTGCGAGTGATATTTTACTTTTTTTTGCTTTATTCTTTGTGTGTGTTTTTTGTTTGCTTTCCACTTTGAACACACGGTCGACCGTTGAATGTCACATTAAAAATGAATGCTACAATTGAAGCCGCACATTTATCAAATGCTGAAAAGTAATATTTACTGTCATGAATCGTTGTTGTCGTTGTCGTTGGGAATAAGTCAAATAATTCATTGATATGTTTTAAAGAGATTCTTCCCTTTGGCTTTGTTGTCTATTGTTTTCCGTCAATACGCCGCTATTATAATTATAAAGTACACCACTCTTCGTTTGCAGCAGTTCAAATTCAAAAGAACTTTCACCTCTTAACGTCGACGAATTTCTTTTGTTCTGTGGTGCAAACGCGCGCTTGACACGTATATTGACTTCACAGTTAAACCACATACACCAAACCACACCACCACGACCAATTGAATAGGTAACAGTGATGGACAATCAAGAAAACACCGATAAAATAACACTGTTTTGAATTATAAACGGAATTTCGCACAAAGTAAATTAACCGCTTCGATGATTTCGGTGTTGTTGGTTTTCGTTTCTCTTTCGTTTCGGGAGGGTGGAGAAATACTAAAACAGTTTCACATGAAACGATACATTCGTCGGAATTGAGCCCAGTTTGTTGTCAACTCAATCGACAAGCACTCATACACACTTGCTGCAGGGCGAATTTTAGCGAAAATTTTCAACAAAATTTATGGATTCGCACATGGATTTTTCCGTCCTTTTAACTCTTTTATTCCACCGCACTGTTTGTTTTCGCTTTTGTTCGCACTAAACGCCACAATTGTTTTTATTTCATTCAACTTTTTATATTCTTTCTCAGCGTGTTGATTACTGCTGTTGCCTCTCTTGTATTTTAGTATTTTTTTCAAATAGTTTGTTGGTGTTTCTGGTATTTTTTTTTATCGTGTTTAACACATAAAAACATCGAATGCTGAGCGGCAATGCGAAATTTTTATTTTAATTTCTTCCTTTCGTTCGTCGCTTTCTCTCGCTTCGTCGATGCGGTTCAGTTTTGTTCCCGCTTTTTATTTTTATCGACACGAACTGGGTCTCAAACTGATTGATATGTTTTTTAATCAGCTTGAATGCCACTGGGTGTATTCGTTCGGTCGGGTGCCTTGATATGGATGTTGCTTTCTAAAATTGCTTATAATATATAATAATAATCGGCTGTCGTTTTCTTTTGCCTTCACTGTCCTTTGCTCACTTGCTCACTCATTCACCAACAGCAGCAACATCAACGTTTTACGGTACACGCTTGACCAATGTGCCCTGCTTTCTTTTTCAATTCATCTAAAAATGAAGTGCATGCAATCGAAACTAATAGATTTTGATAAATTGACACGTTGTCACTTACGGGAAACGAATTCCATCAATTACTATTTTCCGTTTCGTTTCGGATATGATCTCATCGTTTTGCCTACGGTAACATGTTATACAGGTCATTATTAATTGATGGATTATTTCCTAGTTTATTTATTCAGTTATGGATGTGTTCTGGCCGGGAATTTGTTCGAGCCAGTTCCATATTTCAAACGACATTACCACTGTTTGGTTGTTCTTTTTATGGCAGTTTCTTTATTTTTGGCAATAAAAATTTTCGCTTTTATTTAAATCGCTTTGTGAACTGTTTTAAGTATAACTGCTTTGGTTCATTGAATTTTATTTACTTTTATTTTATTTCCAAACTCAAGTTTTAACGAATACAAATCCATTTTTCTAACACAACATTTGAATTTCTTCTGATTTTGCTTTCGAACATTTTTCGTGAAAAAAATTTCTTTTTCGGAAGGATACAAATTACATGATGTGTTTTCCTCAGTTTTGATTCCGTTCGTTTTGTGTTTGTTGTCAAACGAACGCGCAGTAATGTCGTCGTCGATGATAACCGTACGAAAGTTAAACCGATACTAAGTGCGTTCTGGTGAATGCTCTCTGGTTTGATGTACCAGAGACAGCACAGTTATTCGGGCCCACTACGTGCGGCACCACGTTTGCGTCCGCATTCTACTAACGTTTACTGCTTATTTTTCGGTTGTTGTATCCCATGAACGTTGTTTGTATATCGGATCATCTACACACTACACGAAATGTTGTGCCACTGTGTCGAAGGAAAAATATTTAATTTGACAAGAGCCGCATCGACAGCGTATAGTACACGGTAAACAGGGGAGTAAAACAGCGTTGGGGAAAAGTAGAAGCAATTTCGACTGAAGAGCATTTAAAGTGAACCTAGGTAATGGTACAGCAAACGGAATGCAACAGTACACGTTGTAGCACAAATAACATGCAATGCTACAGTGCGACGGAAAGTTTAATGCGGCATAGCGTTTGTCAAATGAGCTTTTACTGCCCCAGTTTTTCTGCGCAAGGGGAATCCACACTCAAAATCATCCTCCATATGAAGAACCATTTGGAACATTTCCCCTTCGTCAAATCGACGGATTTTTTTTAAGCGTGTAGTTGATGCCAGGAGAAGTGACTCGTATAACAGTACGAATGCGGATCAAACTATGTCGATTATAAATCAAAATGCAGTAGTTATTTAAAACTTTGAAACACCTGAGAGAGTGGGCACTCAACAGTGACACAATTTCAACGCTGGCCCAGTTTGAAGTGGCAAGAGTGATTTGAACCGAGAAAATGAACCATCCATTGCACGATAAACACGTTCAATTGACTTATCATTGCAGATTAGCGATTATCATGAGCGAAAAATGTGTGGTATGTGTATACTGGTTGGTTTGTGTCCACCATGCAATTTCCATAAATATTGAAACAAAATGAATTTTTAATCCATAAATCAAAGGATTTGATGCGTTTGGCCAAAAGGCAATGGCACAGTTATTTTTTTTGTATAACGCCACTCACTCTTACACACAACACGTCATGCCGCGTTGAATGTGCCCGGAATGCCAAATCAGTTCACATTATTATTACGCTCTTGCTCTCCGCGGCGACAATATAAAAATTGTCGACATACTATACAAATCATTGTGTATTGTCGTCTATTTCGCTCTCGCACTTTCCCTCTCCCTCTCTCTCTGTTTCTCTCGCACTCACTCGTTCAGGGTGCATTGTTGTCTTCTTTTAATCTCATTTAAATGCTTTCCAGCTATTGATGTAATGTAATTTTTTTTTTCCTTTTGTCTGATAGTAGATCGGGCAAAATTGAGAGGGTGGGATGCAGGAGAATGGGTGAATGAGCCAATAAACCATGCAATTCATTATTTTAATCTTGATTGTTGTTCATCCCCACATCGTGAATATACGCGAAAAAAAGAGACAGAGACACTGTAGAATCTAACAAAACAGTGAGACGAAAGTGGCATGGAATCGGCAAATATTTTTTCTTCTATTTATGCATGCGAATGAGTGTTAGTACCAGTAGCTTCATTTATTATCGGTGTAAATCAATGAACAGGCAAGACATGTCGACGTTTTTTTTCACCCTCTCTCATTTTTATACTTTCTGTGTACATTGCGCGCAATGTGTATGCCGATCATCTGCATCGGATGGGAGTAAACGAGAGTGAAATAAATGAGACTTTTGTTCGAAGCAAGCAATCCCTCTCTCTCTCTCTCTCTATCCATCTGGCTCGCTCGTACAGAAACAACAGACGTAAATAAACGAAAACCAACAAGCGCAATATTTTATTTAAAAAATCACATCACGATTTTTCGTGCATTTAGAATGCGCGCCACCAAACATTCATTGGCACAATCATCAAAATCACACTCTGATATACATAAACATTGGATTTTTCGAGTTGTAGCGAGAGCAAGAGGAGCAAGCACAAAAAAACACGACACACACACATATAGCGTGCATTGGAATTCCTTTGCAAACGAGCAGCACGTTTATACATGTGATACGTTAAAAAGGCAACAGAATTTTTCCCATTGAAGCACGAAAATGGGAAAAAATCTGTATGCAGCCGATATGGTGTGGAGTGTGGAAAATAGCAAATGATACACACACAGAGACACACATTCAGCCCGAGAGAGACATACACATAGAACGAGCGGTGTCAGGCGGTTGTCGACTCGTATCAACCAACGAGAGCAGAGAGCACTCTGCCCAGAGACAATATCTCTTGTTTTTTCGGTGGCTCATCGCATTTAATGCGAAACATGTGATTATATTTTTATACATTTTTATTATTATAAGACCAATATTTATGATGTCGGAGGGTTTTACGCACAAACAACGATTCCGTTTGGATTACATCAGTGGGCTTATCGCATCCTTCGTATGCGCGCGCTCTCTTTCTCTCTCTCTCTCTCTCTCTCTCTCTCTCTCTCTCTTACTTTATCTCTCACTCATTCTATGCTGTGTGTTTTGTGTTTGTTGTCTCTTCCACCCTCGCGTCCAATTCCCTGCTACCATTATATGTTGCTTCTCTTTGCAAATTTGTTATGCTGCTTGAAATTCCGCATTCACTCATTTATCGCCGATTACTACAATATCACGAGAGATGGAGAAAAAAAACAAAAGGCGGTGAAGACTTCACCGAATTGACATTGTAACAAAATCGTTTCACACGATTCAAAAATGACGTTGTTCGAAAGCAGAACAGAAACACACACAACATTTATAAACGAAAATGATTTGTGGGGCTGATGAAATAAGGATGTGGTACGCTATGGCGAAATATCGCCCAAAAATCTTCTCATGAATGGAATTAGTTGCACACATACATACGTACAAGCGATAACGATGGAAGTAGCAAAAAAGGACATTTTCAAAATGACTGAACATCGTAATAAATGATAATGATTTTGTCGCGTTTTTCGGTGTTTTGTCTCTATTTTTACTTCAATTAATATGCAAATTGGCGCCAATGTCTCATTTCGCAACGGTGACGATTCCATCTATGCATTCACATACAGAGCGCTCGGTAATACATTCGGTGTGTGTGTGTGTGTGTGTGTACACGTACAGACACATACAGATCTAAAATAAGTAGCGAGAAGTATGCGTATCTTTCGTGATGTTCATTCCTATCCATACCCGACTTAATAGCGAAGCTATTTGGAATTTTGTTAATGCACACATTATTACACATATCACACATAACACGCACCATCGTCACAAAGATATGAGACTGTGCGAATGTGAATGCAATACGAAAGTGAGCTTGAACAGCAAAAAAGCCAGCCAGCCAACGAAACCAAACCATCACAGCACCGTGCACACATTAAACGAACACCGTAACACTGAAAATGGAATACCGAGAATGGAATAGATAGAGAGAGAGAGAGAGAGAGAGAGAGAGAGAGAGAGAGAGAGCCAACGAAAGGAGCGTCAGGCTATAACGATAACAGAACACGTCTTAATTTGCTCCATTTAATTTTAATCATTCGAAACGTGAGAACGTTTTTATTAGACGAGCCACGAATTTCGGGCTGATAATCATAATTTCATTGGCATTTTTGGATTTTTCTCACAACAATATATGTGTTTGATATGATTTGCACCGATGAAATGAAAATGCTAATGCAACACACACACACACACTTGCTCTATCTGTGTGTGTCACAGCAATTCTCCCGTAATTCAATTTCATTTTGGAATTAACGTAGATAAAACATAATATTTTGACATTGCTCTTGCTAACTTTTATTCGTTTCATTAATCATCAACATTTTGAAATGCGTTTGCACTCGGATTGATGTGACTGTCTTTTTCTTCTGTCTCTTACTCTCGGTGAGTGTGTGGGTTGATGGCTTTTGTGCGATCTCTCAACAATCGGAATTCATAAGTTAGCGGTTTTGTGCTTTATGAACGATATAAATGGGAAATAAGATTTTATGGCAGTAATTCCACGGTAAATTATGCATGCGTGTAATTGAAAATAAATTTCTACCCATTAATCAACGAGTCACAGCTTAACCATCTCAAAATACACTCACTCACC